ATACTATCTAGACTTTTTCCCCCTTAGGTTAGGATCAGGGAGGGCAGAAGATGCATGCTCGTGTAACACTCGTCTATATTCCTCCGGTGCCTAACGCACTATCACAAGCACATGGCATTAGATGGCAGGATGAGATGGGTAGGCAGAGAGAGACAGTCACAGTCCAAGAGCAAAGCAGTATTTCCATGATGGAAACAGATGAGACACAATTCCATGGGGACCAGCAGAGTTACATGTACAATTCATGTCAGCACATGAAGCAACTTACAAAAAATTATATGCCTTTAATACAGTGATTACAGAGTAAGGGAATATTATCTAAGTAATTGAAAATAAACTGAGCTGAAAGGAAATTTCAATTGTCAGTTTAATCTCCTGTTCAGCTCATGAAATACTTTAATTAAAAAATATCACTACTTAGCTTTGACTATTTCTTAACCTTTTATTTGTAAAAAAAAAATAAAAAATAAAGTCAATTTCCTCCCCAAGAGTAAATATAATTAAATAAAATACACTTAAGAATTACAAGTCATCTCATTTAAAAGCCATTAAAATATATATAAACAAAAACTTGTCTTCAAGATTTTACAAAGCACTGTTCAGTTATACTCCCACAGCCCCTAATACAATATTACCAAGATCAAAACAAAAAAGAAAGAACAAAAAAACATAAAAACTTTCATTTTAGTCAAGAACAAAAAGCATAAAAACTTTCATTTCAGTCATGTCAAATTACAGAGGCAGGTTTCAGTTATACTTTCCAATGACAAGCTTTGACTACTTTCACACAAATTTAGTTAACAGCAAAATTAAAGCAAGCACCACTTCAAAAATCCATCATTTGTCCACAATTATGTTCTCTTCTTCCAGTCTAGTCCGGGCCTACCCACCAGGGCTGATGAGTAAATATCACTCACATGGCTGTACCTAATCCTATGATGCCTTACAGGATGTGACGTAGCCCCAGTGGTAAAATCCTCCACCCACAACCCACCCGGACTCAGTTCAAGCAGACTACCCCCACCAGACCCTTCTCCCCCAGACAGACAACAAAGCCTTTTACTCAA